ATATTATTTTTTTGTAATTATTATCATTTTTATTACATTGTGCTAGAAATGTTGCCTTAATTCTAGATTTTTCTCAAAACAAATATTTAATTCTATCTGTATGTATGTGTGTATATAATGTATTTTTTTATTATTAATTATTGTCATTAAAAAAACTTGAAAAAAACTCTTTTGTTTTGTTTTAAAAATAACAATTTTAAATTTAACCATCTGCTGGGTTTGTTTGTCTTTTTGTTTGGGATAGGGTGAATCGTCACTATAGAGGGCAAGGTTTAATTAAATAAGCGGACTCATTATCACACAACAGATTTGTGAACGCACATACACAAATGCCACATACATCTATTTATTTGTTTTGAAATTTTAGTGGGAATCTAATGGAACACAAGGTTAGCGGTAGCGTAGGGCCTTCTAAGAGAATAATTAAAAATAATGTAGGTATGTGTGTACGAATCAGTAAACATGCCAAATTATCACATCTCGGTGAGTCAAACTAAGTTCTTGACAAAACAAATTTAATTATAAATCCATTTTATTTTATAATTCTAAGCATTTTGTAGTGTTAACCAGCCATTTAAAAAATGCATGTATTGAAATGTAGAAGCTCGAAATAACACTAATTATATTATTTCTGATATTTATTCGTTTTTATCATAATTGTGTGATAAATTTAATACAGTTTCTTACTTACTTAGCTGGCTTATGACGGAACATTTGTTCCATAATCCAATCCAACTCCTTTTTTATGTTAAACTATAATTGGAATTTATTTTTCCTACGTACAGATGATGTAGCGTATAAAAACTTCATTCCATTCCATTTAATGATGCTAAATATAGAACTTTTATATCTGTAGTTATGTATATAAAAATAAAACACTTTACTGTTTTCAGAACTAAATTATTTGATATGTATTCTCACACATACACACACACATGCATGCATATCGAAATATTAATTTAAAAAATATAAATAAACCAGATAGTAATTTAAATTGATGCAGTGAAACGTTGCTGAGTTCTGTCGATCGTTTCACTCAACCATCATGGATACTCAGCCGGCAGAAAATGCAAAAAGCACAAATAAAAGCCAATGGCATTTACATTTTATTTATATTTTCAGATTGTTCTGGTTTTACAGCAAATTACAAAAAAAAAAAACAACCTGTATTCATACATACATATGCATGTGCATACAACTACAACAACTAAATGTTTGTTCTCGATTTAAGATAAAAGTCAATTTAGCTACTGCAAAATATTTTATTACAATATTTTAATGTTAGCAGAAAAAAGTAGAAATAGAGAGGTAACACCCCTCCCAGCGTTGGTCTCATTTTATTAATTGTAATGTTTGGTGGTGGAATGTGCAATGAAATAAATAATAGTTTCCAGGGGCTTTCATATTCCAAATATCCAAATATGGTCTGTTCCCGTAGTGCAAAAATTTACTACTTCTACGATAACGAATTTTCTTTTATGATATCGAAGAATATAGTAAAAATATAGTAGATTTTTGCAGTACAGTATTTTGGAATGAAGATACTATTAATTTTAATATTATTTCCATGCAAAGCTATATTTCGACAATTTTTGATACACTTTCAGGCTGCAGGATTTGCTGCCCCATTTTCAACAAAGTTTTAAGTTATGTTGTTTTTTACCAAGCACTTAAATCTTCGTCTATAAAATTAATGGAACCATATTGCCTTACAACATACTGGCTTTTGGAATAATGAGCTCGCACGACAACCAAATGACACCGAGCTTTTTCAAGTCCCAATATGATATTAGGTTCGTTCGTTTACTCAATAATTTGTACAAATTATTACAAAATGTTGTTCTTACAAGGAAAATTTACTCAGTAAGAATTTTCTTGTACCATCAGCTGTTTTTTATGTTTTGAGAACAAATAAAACAATTCTTCTAAATCAAAGATATTGTTTTGTGAATTTAATTTTAATATGGTATCATTAAACATTAAAATGGATGAAGAATGCTCAAGTATTGATAAACAATATCACTTTTCCACTTGTTATCAATTTTTCTAATAAAAATTCGGTTTTTTGAGCCAAATTCTTTGTTGTTTTAATCAATCAGCTGTGTCGATACAATCTTTTTACTGGACATTGTTCATTTACTTCACTATACTATAAATAGGGTCGTCCAGGGAGACCAGCTGGATATCAGCTGTCTCTTAAGTTTGCTGTCAAAATCCATTATTGTGATTTGACTTCCATTATGAAAATGCAAACAAACGTCAAATTTTTGACATTAGACTTGAGTAAAAACGTCTGACTTTCGCCAGTGAACTTATTAATAGATCTTGGTTTACTTTCTGCAATATTCTCTATTTACTCTCTGCAAATTCTTACTGAGTAAATGTTACTGGGAAAGTAAACGAACGAACCTATTAATGTGCACATTCGTTCAGTTCCTACATCTGGGGATAGGCACGTGTTTTGGATAGGAAGGTACCATATATTTTGTTTTATATTTTAAAAGAATTTTTATTTCCAGAAATTTGGCATTTAGGATTCTCAATAGGTAGAAGACTTCACCGTAAAAAGTACACATACAGTTTTAGTTTTACACATTGAATTAATAACTATTTTTTTTTAATTTTGTTAGTAATAAACATAAATGTTTCTTTATTAAAGTTTTTTTTATAATTTTATATATAAGTAAAGTGATAAAATGCAAAAAAGAGCAATCCGAGTTTTAAAACATAAAAATTAAAAAAAAATATGTAAATTGTACGTTTATAGTATAACAAAATATGTGCTGTTTAATCGATATTTGGTACCAAATATTTTTTATTGTAGTATTTCGAATTGTTTCGAGATAAACTTTATCATCACACTCTTCTTCGAGCTCTTTTGCAAGCGTCCTTGAAGAAATTTTATTAATGATGTGATCATGATATTTTTGTATCCATTTTTTATATATTTTTATTAATTATCATTTTATTATATACTTTTATTAATTATCCTTTTTATTTGAAATTTATGGTTTTCAGAGTGGTATAAGTGTTATAAATTTTGTTATTATACGATATAAATTGTTCAAATTTTGTTATTCTATTTTGAAGATTTAATAAAAGTGCTGGTGTAGTTTAGTGGTTTTTGTAACGTATGCGGCTATATAAGCTTGGTTATCAAAATATGAAATAATTTAAATTAACACCAATCTTTCCTCATTTTCTGCCCGATTTAATAGATTGTAAATTGACTTTTGTGTAACTGAAAACATTTCCGACAATTCGTTCACACTTTTCCCCAACTGGCGGTTGTAATATATCAGCTGAATTAAATCATAGCATAGGAGCTTTTACATTTTTGAAAATGTTTAATAATTATCCACGTGTAAACTCATTCTTGACCCACTGTATATAAGAACCGCGTGATTTTCTGCACGTGATTATTGTAACTCAAAATTGCTTCTAATTTATTGGTAGAAGTCAAATCAATTGGAACCCCATTTACGTATCAAATTAATTAGGTTAATATTTTTTTTAATAAACGATATAAAAACATTACTTTTGATAAAATAACCAGTTTTGATGACGCAAATCGGTATATTGTCGTAAAACGTTATAATTGGTAGGTAAATATAATAAGGTTTATATTGTCTTTTACAATTCCACAACGGTGTTGGCTAAGATTAATTTCAATGATTAAGGGAATGTAAACTTAATATACCTTCCACCATAACACTTTCAGTCCCAGCTAAATCTATTGTGAGATCTGAAAATTTTTAATTTTTTAGTATTGGTTTGTTATCCGGTTCGGGTTTTCTACAAATACATTAGACAAATTTTTAATGTCTCTGGGTCTGAAAGGATTCGGTGGATTTTTTTTATTGAGTCATATTTTTAGGGCTGTTTAAACACCACATTTCCGGTGGATTCCTATACTGTTTACATATGATCCGTTTAGCAGAAGCTTTGCTTGTATAAAAAGTCATCGAAAATTCAGGTCAAAATTCTATAACATGTTCAAATAGTTCGCGCAAGCCACAGCTATTCAGAGATAAGTTAAAAAAAAATAAATAACAAGGTCAATTTCTTCGCCGACAACACCTGAAACACAGACAAAGAAGTTTTATCTCAATCAATCGAAACATTTTTTTAGGGGGTGGTGCAATTATTTTTTCGTCATATCAGAGGGTCTATCTACCAAAACTTATAACGATAAGACAATTTGTTGAATGTTATTAATACAAAATATCATATGATCGCTGCTCTACATATGGCCAAGTTACTCGCCATAAATAATATAATGGTAAAATATAAGCGTTTATTGTAAAAGTTAATAGAATAACTGATTACAATTGCTTATCTTCATAAAGTGCATAATAAATGGTGTGACCACAAATTGGGTAAGTATGATGATGGTCCCCCATGTTGTGCGTATTATATTAGCCGCCATATGAATTTTCGATAAATGGAATGTGTATTTTTTGTTGACTGTAAAAAAGTGGCCTGATTTTTTAATTGGATTCCTTTGATAACGAATTTATTTTGCAACGTGGGAATTTCAATATGAAAATCAATACTCATTGTTGAGTGATTCAATTCAATTATCAGATATTTGTCAAAAAAAATGACGTCTTACCTAAAGTAAAAATAGAAAACAATGAATGTGAATGGAACATACAACGATTAACATAAATATAATACATACAATTAAAACATATACAAACAAAAATGCCACTTCAATGTCATATATAGCATTGATAAATGCTATTTGTTTTGATCCCTAAGGAATGTTTGAAAAATTGCATCAAACCATTTGTATTTCGGTGTGTAAGTTTTATTATTTCTTTTTTAAAAACAATTATTCATAATAATGTTAAATAGGCAAATGTTGTTGTTGAAATTGTGATTAATTTTGCCACAGTATTTTGGTGCTGAATGTTGATTTTTTGCTATAGCAATGAAATATTTATTTTCGAATTTTCTTAGCCTTAAACAATGAAGAAACTCCATCGAGCATAGGTTTGAAGATGACAAATGAACTGCACTGTATGGTTGATACAAGATAACATATCAAAGCTATCAAATAGTTTGAAATATTTCTCTATATAGTATCATCAATCAATAGGATCACTGCAATAAAGAAAAGGAAACATATTTTATTTAATCGATAAGTCATCAATTGAGACATACCCTGCAAATGATTTTGCATTTTGAGACGCCAAATCATCATCGGCATTACCAACAGCCTTTTTGATGTACTGTAAAACAAAAGAACCAAAATTGTTAATAATTCCATTATTTCAAATAAATGTAAAATACATACAATTGGATTCAATACAATATCCTCTTCCATTTTATTAATTTGTTTCACCAATGACATTACATTTTCCATATCTTCTTGAATATTAAGAAACATTTTATTCGAATTATATTTTTCGGGATCGTCTTTAAAGACAACCATGCCGTCTCTTTGATCAATTTTAGCATAGATTTCACCAGATTTTATCTAAAAGTAAGCAAAATGTTTTATTATTATTACATATATATATATACAATCAAATTTTGTATTAATTATATTTATTACCATATTGAAGATATACTTTTCGGCTACATCGGCTGATGGCAATTGAACACGACTAGCAACATCAGTTAATGATAATGTCAAAAATGTCTTTGTAAGTCTCTGGATATTCTTCTTATACAATGATGTGGCAACCTGTGAAATTTAAAATCAATTAAACCAATAATGCAAAACCTAGATAATTTAGCTCGATTCGAAAGAGTATAAATAATCACTTAATATTTCATTCAAATGATCCATGCCTTACAATGCGAAATTAAAATAACCAAAACCATTTATAGTTTATACCTGTTTTGCCAAACCCATATTGTTATCACGGACAAAGGTTTCACTGTATTTGCTGATACAATTTCGAACTTCTTCACTAGATGTAGTGGCATATGCCACAGCTAAATTATGATAGACCTGAGCAATTGGTTTCATAAAACGTGAAATAACTTGAGATGCATATTTTGGTATGGGTTGAATCTGTAATTTGTAAAATACAAATAAATAAAAAAAAATGAGATTATATTTAATTTAAAAAAATCTCTTACCTTTCCATGTAAAATCAAGGAAACCAATATGAATTTTTTATATGCCTCTAACATAATGTAGGACATAGCCATGGCAGGTGTTGCTATACAGACTTCAAAAAAATACAATGCTCTTTCGTAGTTTTTCATAGCAGTGTAAATCATGCCACCATAATAATAGTAAAGTAAAAAATATTTGGCATCATGGTTGGTCATATCCTAAATTAAAAGCAAAAAATTGTTTAATAGAAATAAAATAAGAGTTTATAGTTGTTTTTTACAACTACCGTTTGACTTTGTCCCCTTGTTTCAGCACCGGTTGATATAGTCGTTATATCAACGTCTAAATATTTCATAGCTACACGAAAACATTTGGATTTAAGACTTAGTTGACACAAGTCGGCATGGATAGGTGTAAGTTGAGTCTCGGATGTGCGTATTTTGTCAATGGCAGCGGACAATGTAGTTAGACCCAAAATACAGCGAGGCTGGCCAACCATTACATTTGTATACTGATGGCAGAGCTCGTAAACTGAAAAATGAAAAAAATGAAGAATATTAATGATGTCCGAAATGAAATTAAAAAATATTTATTAAAAAAAATGTGAACGTTTAAAATAAAGACTTCGATTTAAAAAAAAAATAGATAGTCGTAGTAATTCGTACAAGTTTCACGATTTAGGAAAAGATGCATAGTAATACCATAAACACATATGAATGTCGGACCATCCATCTTCTTTGAAGCTTGTATCTATGCAAAAAACACGAAGTGTTCTTACTTTGGATTCTCATAAATCAGCATTTTTTGTGGTTTTCTAAAATTTGCATATGGCTAACGGTTGTAATTAGGATCAAAAGGACTATTTGAAAGATATTGAATAACAAATGTGAGTATTTTTGAAATCCCATATTTCAAGTAGTAATGATTTCCCACCGAAAAATATTGTTGTTGTAATCAGTATCAGAAGAGCCGCCCATTTTAAAAAAATGTTTGCCCGTAAAGTGCATTTAAGCCAAAAGAAATACCGTCGAAGGGTATCCGCAATCACAAAACAATTCGTAATCGGTAGCATCATCATGTATTGAAGCATAATCCTGTAGCTAACGCTCATTTGCTGCAAGACCGTCATATATATAAGAAAAATGATTATGTCAAAATCGTAGTCCTTGGCCCCATGTAATGTAGCAACATCAAATAATCTAATTATAAAAATAAAAATGTTTTTGAAGTACAAGGGTTATGACCCCCTCCAACTATTGTGAAGCTAATACATTGTCAGTTTCTAGCTATTGGAGTAGTTTATATTTTGTTGTTGCTGTTGCTGTTGCTGTTTTTTTTTTTTTTTTTTTTTTTGAATTGCATTTGGACCTTTGTTCTAGTTTTTCGTATACGAAATTGAAAATGCGTGTTAGGTTTTGAATCGACTCACACCTTACAAGGAACAGTGGAACAGTGGAACTTCTGCAGATTCCCAATCAGAGAGTGTATGAGATATTCATATGAACTTTTACCCAACATGAAGTATTATATAGCGAACAATTCTGCATCACCATTTTTGATTTATGCCAGTCTTACAGCAAATGAACGATATATATGTTTTTCAAAAACCCACTCTTCAACTTAACATTCAGATGTATTTTGCAGTTCTACTCACATGCATGAGCCGCCAATCGCACTTGATAGGTGTTACATTGTTGTATGAAATCTTTGACAGATTTCAATAGGACTTCTACATCGGCATTGGAGTTCTAAAATTAAAAAAAAAAAACAACAGTATATCTTGTTTCTAATTGAAATGTCTTGTCATATTTCATGCATACCTGTAAACTATTGAATTTCGCCAACAAAACATACAGTACGCCCAATGAATGTTGTTGCACATCTAACGTCTCCAGGACATTATCGAGAATATTCCAGTTTTTGGATAGAATTTCCGTAGAATCTAAAAGATGAGTAGCCAGATCTTCGAATGCACCTATGGGAAAGTTTGAATAATTAGATGATCGTATAATATACACAACCTGAAGGATTGCACATTCATACCCGATGAACTGAGGCTTCTCACACTATTCACAAAATTCTCCAAGGCGCTTGCCATTTCTTGTATTTCTTAATATACTTTTTGTCTCGTTCGTAATCTGATTCAATCTTGCTATTTTGTTCAACCTTTAACCATACTTTTCCTTGTGGATGTTTCAATTCACTTGCAAATTCCAAGGAAGGCGACCAGTGGCAGTATGTGATTGCAATTTGCAAAATTTGCAACAAAAGCCGACTCTGTAATCTTGATCTTGCTCTTCAGTTACGCCGGTATCAGTTTAACACAATTTTGCAAAACGTCACAAATTTCTAACGAAGTTGAATATCTTATATTCTTGGCTAATTGTTTAATTATTTAATTTTTTTTATTTTTCTATTCGATTCTGTTTTCGGAAAGATATGCCATTGAATAGATTGTATTTCCTTCGTTAAGGGTAGCTCACATTCATCGGTTTGTAGAGTACAACCCTGTAAAGTGAGGTGAAAGCAAACAAGACCAACCAGGCACGAATGATGTGAAAGAAAACGAGGCGAACAAATGAGATGAAGCAAACGAGACGAGTACCAACTAAACAGCTGTTTGCAAAACGAACAGCTGGTCAACGACAAAAGGCAAAGTTTGTTAAATATGAATGACGGCGTTAAGTACTGACAGCTACAGAAAAATCAAAATTTTACATATTCAAATTTATAAGAAATGTAAATGCTTTTTATCACGTTTGTTGGATAAAACAAACCTTTCAAACATTTTACAACTTTACACACTTCAAGCACACAAACATTCAGTACGGCGTAAAATGCTCGTCAAAGAAATCAATTTTCAAAAATATTTTTCAAAACTTTCCCCACTATGACAAAATATTTTGTACGGCCGTATTACCCAACTACGTCGAATCCATTTCTCTTACCGAACTAAACTAAATCGCGAAATAAAATTAAGAAATTATAAAATGTGTTCAAATATTTCATATTCTTTTTGAAAAAAATTATATTTTTGTTATATTTTGTTTCTATTTTCAACAAAAGAAAAAACACAAAACTACGTTCTGTCATAGTTGAATTTTTTTCTACTTTGAAAATTCGTACGTCGACGTATTTCGGTAACATTCATATAAATACATGTGTTCTACTTTTGTGGTGAAAAACGTCGAACGAGCTAGTTGAATTTTAGTAAGGCTGTTACACACACAGTCACACATTTTGTATATGAAAAGTTGACAAAATAAAATTAATAGATGTTTCGTATGTTTTGTTTACATTTTCGACATATACAACTAACACGATTGTTGTAGTTTTGCAGTTAGCTTGTATAAGTGTACCATGGTAATATTTTTATTTTTTCTTGTAGTCAACTATTTTCAAATAAACTGTTTAATTTTTTTCTTGATGTCGTCTATTTTTATTGTCAAAATTTGGTCGAATTAACCACAATAGATTTTTTATATTCTGGTTTAAAACGCTTCTAAAACCCAAATGAAAAGATACAATTATTTTGTAAATAACTGAGTACTCGGTATTTTTTCACTTGTTATTGGGAAGCAGAAAATATCTGGCAACTCTAGTACCAGCTGTTTGTTTACACTGTATTGTTTACTTCTCTCAGTTGTTGTTAAAAACAAGTTGAGGTATTTTGCACTATTAGAATTATTGGGACTGCTTTTTTATGTGATATTATGGAAAATGCAAACAAGACTCTGGTGATATGAAATTGGGAACTAATTGTGTGATATATGAAGAAAAGAAAATATGTGGAATAAGTCAATGAATGAAATGGACGACCAAGGACGACAAAGGGTGTTTTGTATTACTATAAAGTTGAATACAGGGTGACACATATGAAATATAAAATAGACGTATCGTGGCATTAGGGCGTTAAATATGAACATTGTAAACTGATTTAAATGTTAATTAAATTCTAATATTTATTTTTTATCTTTTAGAACATGGCAGGAAATACGGAAAATTTAGATGATATAGATTCATTGATCGAATTTTGTCCCGAATCACCATCTTTGTTAGAGCAAAATTGTAGGAATGTTACTACAGAAGGTGCAACCACAGCATTTGAACTACAATCACCGCCACCTACACGTATAATATTCGTTTGTTCGCTATGTCTTCGCCAATATGATTTAAAGGAGGATTTAAGGGGACACATGATAGAATATCATAAATGTGTACCCATAGATAAGGAAACTAAAACGTTGACTACCACAAAATCCGAGAAGAACGATAGCACCAACGAAACGATGCCACTAATAATTACACCCGAATTTAATGATGACACACAAGAGAAGCCCGAAATGAAACCCGTACCTTTTAAAGATTTTCGTTTGATTCTGAGACAATGCATGAATCTTAAATGTACAGCTGGAAATAGTTGTATTTACAAATTTGCCAACGCTGAAAATCGAGAAAATCATATTAAATGTCATGTACCGGGTAAAAACACATTTAAATGTTATATTTGTTCATTGTCAATAAATAACTGGAGACGGTGTACTGCTCACTTGTGGAAATCTCATAAAATTGATGTGGATCTACTTAAATGCCCTGTATGCGAATTTAAATCATATGCTTCTGGTGAGTTGTAATGTTTATATAGAAGTTAACGTTAAATTGGCTTATTGTTGGTCTGATCAAAAGACAACACTTCATTTTTCGTGTTTGGCAAATCTCGATTATATTTTGTATAAAACTTTAATTAAGAACATACTTTACGCAATAAATTGCATAATTTTCGATATTAAAAGAGTTGCACTTATTAACAGAATTTCGAATTCATTTGCTAGCATTAGTTTGGCGTCACATGAGAGTTCACAAGAAATGGCGTCCTCGAGTTATGCGTTCCTTAAAAGCTGTGAAGCGTAAACGATTGCAGCAATCACAAGATACCTCCAGCAATCCGCCACCAATAGAAAAGCCTAAACCAGCAGTGAGGCAAAATAAATATTATTCGGAAAAAACTTGTGAAATATGTGACCGGAAATTTGTAAATGGAAAAACGCTGTCGAAGCACATAAAAACTGTTCACAATAAAATTAAGCCATTCATATGTAATGTATGTGGCAAGAAAATGTCACGAAAGGCAAGCTTAATAGTAAGTTTGTGTTATAGTAATGAATTATTTGCTTGCATATAAACGTCTTTTTTTAGATTCACATGCGTCAACATACCGGTGAAAAACCTTTACATTGTAAATCCTGTAAATTTTCCACACGAGATCCCAGTGTCTTGCACAAGCATCAAATGCGCCACAATAAAGACTCGGCTAAATTGAAATGTTCATTGTGTGACTTCACCTGTATACAAGCTAATGCTTACAAACATCATATGCGTTTAAATCATATTGAGAATTATAAGAAAATTGCCTGTGATTTATGCAATTATGTTACAGTTAATGAAGAAAAACTAAGAGCTCACAAGGAAGATCATCGTAAGGGCTTGTTACGCAAAAATGAGGATTCACAAAGTGCAATAAAACCCCAGAAGAGTAATGAGGTAAGTATTTTCCATCAGAATTTCATTAATAAATTTGATTTGTATTGAAATAATGATTATTTGTAAAGACTTTAATTTGTCGTTATAGAGACGACCAGTATATTTACATTCAGTATATATTTATTTATTAGTATGTTTTTTAATTCCACAAATCTCTCCATATTTCCAGGCATCTGCCGATTGTTTCTTGCCCTTGGAAAGTATTGATTCATTACCACATGAACCAGCTGTTGACACTGGTGGTGTTACAATACCAGCACCCTCTGAAGATTCACAATTCCCCACCTATTTCCATACAAATTAAAAAGAGAAACAAATCTTATTTTTTTTTTAATGTTTTCTATTTTTTTTATTAATGTTTTATTCAATTTAATGATATGATTTGCAACACAATTTTTTTGTTATTAGTCATTATTTATTTTCTCTTGGTTTTGTATCTGTTTTTTTTTTTTAATTTCATAAATATTATTTGTTGTAGTTAGTTTTATTGGAATTCGTTTTGTTAAGGTTTTAACACATTTTGAGTTTTCCTTTTCTTTCCATATGAGGATTTTTATAATTGTAAGACAATTTGCAAATGTAATGTAATACACATTTTTTTTTTTTGGTTTACAGTTTAAAAAGGGTTTAATTTATTTGTTGTTATTTTAATGTTTATTTTATTTTATTTTTTTTTTTTTCATATTTTATTTATAGTTTCTATTTAGTTTTTTGTTTATTTATTTTTTAATATAAAAACGACGCTAAATGTTAACGTACGTATTTTTCTTTAAGGTTTCTAGTGTTTGTTTTTTTTTTTTTGCAATGATTTTGTTTGTTTTGATTTTCGAGTTGAAATTTGCTGAAATGAATTAATATCATATTTTGATGTTTTCTAAACGAACAATTATTATTTTTTTGATTTCCTAGAAATTTAAATTCATTTGATTTTCCAATCGATTAATTAAATTTGTAAATTTTCAATTGATGAGTTTCTTATTTTAAATGGTATGATTTTTTTTTAAAATAAAGTGTAACCGGATTTTAAATTAGTAATTTGTAAAAAAATATATACCTACCACTATGTAAGAAATGTGTTAATTCTCATTTTTGAGAATCCTTGCAGCAAAACAAAATATCTCATTAAAAACATATTTGAAATGTTACCACAAAAATGTAAGCACTTGTGACGTTAACATTTCCAGAAATTATATCTAAGGCCGATTTATACCGTTTTATGGAGTTATACAAAAAATATAGACTCACATAAAGCCCCGCAATTTGTACCAAAACTATTACAATTTCAAATATCTGTTAAAAACATGCTGTGAACTTTTATATTCACTGGAAGGTTACAATGTTTTAAAAACATTAACAAAAAATTTTAATTCTACACTCTACTTGAGAGTGAAGGCTTTACGGAAATGTGGCCCGTATTATTATTATTTATTTTTTTTTTAATTTCAATTTTAATTTTAAACGTTTCGGTATTCAATTTTTATATTCATATATATATATATATATATATATATCAATTGTAATTCGAGAATTCCTTGTGTAATTCAAAATATTTCATTGTAATTTTTAAACATATCATTTGAAATACATTGTAATCTAAAAAAATCGAATTGAAATACAAATAATTTGATTTTTTATTCAAAGTATATTTGAAATGAAAATATGAACATTTGATTTTCTCGAATTAAAGACGAATTCTTAAAATATTTAGAAATGGCTTAGAAATTAAGCTTACATAGTGTTATATATAATTTTTATAATTGTTTTTTTTTTTACTTTATTTAAATTATTACTTAATATACATATATGTAAGTATTTGTGTATATAGTATTTTTAAAGAATTAAATTATTGCTTATATTGAGCGTTTATAGTTTAATTCGAATACATAAAATACATTCATTCATTTTTTCAGTTAAATTTTTGCAATTCAAAAATAAATTTTGCTTTAGTTAGGTTTTTTTATTTGTTTTCATAGTTTTTTTCTTCTTCATTTGTTTTGCTAAAATGATAACAAAAAATATTTGTAGTTCTCTGTTTTCTTATTGTCAGTGTATTTGATTTGGAAATAGAGATAATATACATATTTATGTTAAATATTATTTATTTTTTAATTATTTTATGTATATAAAATGTTTAACTAAAATGGTTCATTTTGAAACCGAAAAAGCATAAAAATTTACTAATAATAATTTTATATTTTTTTAAAATAAAAAAATTTAAAATAAAACAATGTTTTTGATATTATTTTTTAAATGATATCATTGATAGTTGTTTATGAGGGCAGTGTTTTAATGATTTCTGTTTCACTAACATTTTTGTAGTATTTTGTTTTTTTTATTTTTTAATTTTTTAAATTTCTTCAAAAACACATTTTGTTTTATTAAAAACTGAATACAGGGTGGGCTTTTTTGGTAAAACGTATATTTTTTGTGTATTTATTTAATATTTAAAAATAATAACATATTAAATTTATTTCTAATTACTTAAAATTTAACAAATGCATTGATAATGTTTTCCTTGTAATTTAAAAAAATTATTCTAATTTTGTTCCATTTTTTTTTTGTTTGCAACAAAAAAGTGTTTTCTATATATTACGAATATAATCGATTTTATATTAATAATGTTGAAAATAAAAATAAAATTGTATTTGAAGGTTTTTTTTTTTGGTTTAATACAAATATAATAAGTTTTAAAATAATTAAATCCAAATGAAATTTGATAATCTGTCCCATTACGATGAGTTTACGTTTTAGTGTTTGAACGTTGAATACGGAAAGAAATTATATATAAAACAGCTGTTTATATTGTACAAAATATAATCCACGTTAAGTTATATTTTTTGTCATCATCTTTAAGGTAGTTAATGGGCCTTTTTGGGGAAACATATTTTTTGCAGGTATTTCATAGAATTTTCCTCCTATCAAAATTTATAAAAAACTTATATATTTGTCACGAAGAGAGTTGAGTGTCCGATGTGATCTCGGGTATATACATTAAATGAGGTATACATATTTTATGACCCACGTCGTCAGCGCCATCTATTGATGGACATGATTCAAACTTGATACATCGAATATCTTTTGAACGGACAATCGCATCTCTACCATGGCGCAATTAATAGGTAGTCCATTTAGCGCAGCTGATGTCTTGATTAACTGTCAATGTGTGTAATTTCTACTTGCATTCGATGTGCAATGTTGCCAACCATGTGAAATATTATATGGACAAATTTGACAGATAATCGAGACAAAAACAAAGGTTTTTGTTTTGATACATTACCTTATTATTGCATCATGGATCTACCCAATTAATATATGGCGTTGACGAAAATTGTTTACCAGGCTTGCCATGTATCATCTACAATTTAGATTAATAATAATTTTTGAATGCAAAAGGATACAAAAATAATTTAAATGCATATTGATAGCCTCGATTATCCAAGTATCAAAGAATGTTTTCATGACAACGTTAAAGGGAAATGTTTTTCGCTATCATTCATAATTTTTGAACGTGTAACGATACAGATACAAATCAAACAGGTATTCTTAGCTTGGAAAAACATTTTTGTAACTGCGTGATTTCAACAGAAGGACATGAGTAAATCGGCATAGAATTTTATTCTGATCAAGAACAGCTGACCGTTGTGCCACTAAAGTACCATTTTATACCCTCCACTCATGGCACAATGAATAGGTAGTCCATTTAGCTCAGCTGATGTCTTGATTAACTGTCAAAGTTCGTAATTTCTACTTGAAGTCGATGTGCAGTGTTGCCAACCATGTGAAATATTATATGGAAAATTTGACAGATAATCGAGACAAAAACAAAGGTTTTTGTTTTGATACATCACCTTATTATTGCATCATGCACTCCACTATAGTATAGAGGGTATATTAATTTTGTTTTTCCGTTTTTAACTCATCGAAATATTAATTTCCGACCCTATAAAGTATAAATATTCTTATTCAAAGTAAATTCCTAAGACGATCTAGTCATGTTCGTCCCTCTGTTGTTATCACGCAATTTTCTGAAGGAATTGAGATACATCACCAAAATTTTGCATAGAGTATTTTGTCTGCAGTCAGCCCAAGCTCGAAGATGGGCTATATGGGCACGTTTAGCCCCCATATAAGGGTACGGCCCAATTTTCGATATTTTGGGGTTCTTCAGCGCGCTTTTCAACCGAATTCGCCGAAATTTGGTATATTGGGTACTTAATGTCCCAACAAAAAATTATAAATATAGGGCCACTTTTTCTGGTAGCCCCCATATAACGGTACCTCCTAATTTTCAGTATTTTGGGGGTTTTGATCGTATTTTTCCACCGAATTGGCTGTAATTTAGTATTTCGAGTTCTTAATAGGTACCAAATCTCTCCACAAAAATTATAAATATAGGTGAATTTTTTCGGATATCACCCATATAAGGGTACCCCCCCAATTTTCGGTATTTTGGGGTTCTTGAGCGCGTTTTTCAACCAAATACGCTGAAATTTGGTGCATTGGGTTCTTAATGGGTTCCAAATCTCTCCACAAAAAATTATGAATATAGGTCAATTTTTTCGGCTAGCCCCCATATAAGGGTACCCCCAATTTTCGGTATTTGGGGGTTCTTGAGCGCATTTTTCAAGTTCGGATGAAATCTAAATTTTCTGAAACGGATTTGGTCCAAAGAAACATGGGGTCTGGAACCAATATTTCGATGAGGCACATTTTCACCGTGTTAAAGTGTATACACTCTCATTAGCCATAAGGCTAAGGGTATAATTATCCTTTAAAATTTTGTAAAATTTGTATTATAGTTTACATAATCCGTTTTAAGAAAGGTCGGTATAGGTCTACTTTTTGGTATGTTCCCTATATTTTCATTTCTAGTACCTGTCAATATATCTATGGTGGAGGGTATCCAAAGTTCGGCCCGGCCGAACTTACCGCTTTTTCACTTGTTTATATTAAAATAGTTATTTGATTTGTTCCGCGTTTTGAGTTTGGTTCTAAGACCCTGTTGTAATCATTTTACCTGCGAAGGATAGCGAGATAAAAAACTAGAACGTAAAGTTCGATAATAAACTATAACCCGCAATGAGGCCTAGCCCCTGTGTGGGAGGTATCAGAAGGAGTGGACCGATATTCCCCATTTTCGAACTTTGGTATTTTCCCTATATTTTCATTTCAAGTACCTGTCAGTATATCTATGGTGGAGGATATCCAAAGTTCGTCACGGCCGTATTTAACGCTTTTTCACTTGATTTTCGGCATCGCCACTTTTTTATTTCGATACTAAATGTGCCACTTTTTGAAATTTTG